AATTGCACAGTATATGCCATTTGCTGTTAACTAGTCCTCAATGTAGGCACTAACAGAGAAATGTTAACTATAGAGGTTAGTGACTAACATGCCACAATGACCTTGAGCCTTGGTCAAGGTATACAGTCTTAACTAAATTTAATGTACAGAAACCATTATTTTCTTAAGAGACTTGTTGTGACCATGACCTGTGACCTTCAGACCCCATTACCTACAGCAGAGGTCTCAAACTCAAATAATCATGAGGGCCTCTTGAGAACATTGGCCTGAATGCTGTATCACTGAAAACTTTTTCATACAGCAATATAAAAGTGCAGTCAAAAATGAAAAAAAAAATGAAGACTAAATAGTATACTATTTTGTTATACTAAGTGTCAAGGAATTTTATTCTAACCAGAAGTTTAGTTACAATGCACTGGCTGTGAAGAAAACATTTTGCATTGTTAATTATTTTACAATTCTGGGTGAAATAACTGCACTGCTGCATGTTTCAGACTCTTCATTTATAGGCTAATTTAGCACATTCAGTACAAGCAAGCCATGATGTCTGGTCAGTGAATATACTCAAAAAAAGTTTTATTTTAATGCTAGAAAACATTATTGTTCTTCCAGACACAGTGATATTGTCAAATTGGCCTTATAATCCCAAAATCAACTTGCTTCTTCCCAACCCAATGTGGAAGTCATTGGCAAACTTTGGCAAAAATACATTGTTGACTGAAACCTTCAAGCAGAAACCATTTTTCTTCTTTCATTCACAGTGGCCATGACCTATGACACCAAAATCAAGGGGTGTTTTTCTTTCCCATTATGGAAGCATATTGGATGGCCTGCACTTAATGCAATAAATAAGCCTATAAATCAATAGAATTTGCCAGTTTTTTCTTTCAGTCACAATGACCTTGACTTTTAACCTTTTGAACTTAAAATTGATAGGGTACTTCCTTATTTTAAGTATAAGCCATCCATAAAATCTTTGTAACTGAAAATGTTTGAAAACAAAGTTGTTGTATGGAAACCAACAGAGGAATGGACAGAAAACATCATAGTATAAAATGTTCTGTCTTATGGCAAGTCTATAAACTTTATTAGCATCAGTATTATTATTATTATTATTATTATTATTATTATTATTATTATTATTATTATTATTATTATTATTATTATTATCCGCCTCAGATGCAGGAGTTCGTGGGTTCGATCCTCAGTCGAGTCATACCAAAGACTTAAAAAAATGGTACTGACAACTGCCTGGCTGGGCGCTCAGCATTAAGAGGATAGTATTAGGACTGGTCTGACTAGTGTCAGGATAATGTGACTGAGCAGGACAGCATGTTACATGTCTGTGGCATGATGCCCCAGTGCTAGACATTACTATAAACTGCCACACTGTAGACATCATTGTGATGTGACTGAAAAAGTGCTAAAGCTATGTTAAAATCATAATCACATCACATTATTATAATTATTATTATTATTATTATTATTATTATTATTATTATTATTATTATTATTATTATTATTATTATTATTATTATTCAAAGTACATTAACAGGTTATTATTGTTGTTGTTGTGGGTTTAACACTATTTTCAGCACAAGATAGGCTATACATGGCAGCCAGTATTAATGATGGAGGACAAACCATGGATAACCCTGGGAAGAACCATTGACCTACATTAATATGTAAAGGAACATATAATAAATCATCATCACAGAATCTGAATCAGTGTGAGTTTTCCAGTTTTGCATAAATCTGTGTAACATTTTTAAGTATATAAAGTTGATAAAATGACAAAAGAAAGTGAAGCTATTGATTAAAAATGTTCAAATGTATGTATGTATGTATATATATATATATATATATATATATATATATATATATATATATATATATATATATATATATATATATATATATATATATATATATATATAAGAATGTAGTGGCCCCATATATACATAAGATTTTCTTTTAAGAAGTCTAAATAGAAAAGTGAATTGGGAAATCATCATCTGTGCTATTTATCCCATACATTTTATGTATCATGTACTTAATACATGTATATCATCTGTTTAGTAGATTTTATGATATAAAAAATGTGCAAGATCAATAAAGACAAAAACAATGAAAACATTAAATGTCTTTTATACCAATAATTACACCATGAATCATATTGAAAAGACTAATGGTTTGGAGGACTGAAATTACACTAATTAATTTAGCACATAACTTCCAAGATATTACTACTAATTGTCTTGATTTGTAAACAGTCTACTCCCCAAAATACTTATGATACTGTACCAAATTTTCTTTCTTTATATGTAACTAAGGAATTTTCCCTCACATCTGAAACATAATTTAAATAAATAATGTTGTGGTTTCTTTTTTAAAAGCATTTTCTATTACTAGGAATATAAACAGCAGTGGAAAGCATTAAAGGGAAGATACTGTCATATGCATACTGATTTATCTAAATTTGAGTTACTTCCTCTTTTTAAAAAAAATCTATCTGAAAACCGTACAAAATTTTTAGGCAGATTCCACCTGGACTTTAGGTGGATTCTGGGTGGATTCTGCCTAAATAACCAAGTTTGCGACATACTTTAGACAGAATGGGAATACGGCTAAGGTGGCAGACTAAATCTGTCTAATAATTAAGTGTACTATTTCCTAAAGTATATCTATTAGATGAAAAAGTTCTGCTTGTCATTTTCCTACTTTAAGGTGGATTTTGGACTTAAAATTAATTTTAGCAATGTTAGGCATGATTTTGAACTTTATCAAAAGAACAACATTAGCATAGAATGTTTGGACTTAGAAAATTTGGTGCAAGGTGTATTTTGGACTTGATCCTATCTTTACTCTGAAAAATATGTTTTTTTTTGCTTCCTATTAAAATATGCTCTATAACAATCATACCTTAGTGAAAATGTGACTGAAAGTTCAGAAAAATCAGTTTAAATTTTTGACATTCACTCAAATGTCTTTTTTTTAATAAAATTTTTAGATTTTAGATTTTAAGAAATGTTTTGAAAATATCAGTGAAATTTTGTTATTGAAATTTCACTGACTGCCAACATTTCCAAAAATATCAATAAGAATTTGTGATTAAAATATCACTGACACTTTGCCAAAATTTCTGAAAATATAGTGATCTTTTTTGATTATAATATCACTGACATTCCAATAAAAGAATACCACTAATATATAATAAAATTTATTTTTTGTTTTTTGTTCAATTTAAATGATTTTCAGCAAGATTTATATTTCCTGTTGCTGATAGCTGTAATTTTATAGTTCAATTTGAAAATACAGTAATAACTTCTTTCCAAATGTTTCCTTGTATTTTTTGTAAAAGTTGTTCTAGTTTTGTTTAATTTCAGTTGGATTAAACTCCCCTCAAAAAGATTGTTTTCTTGTTTTTTTTTGTTTTAAAGCAGAATTTCATGTTTCTCCTGAACTGAAACTTATTTTTCTCGATATGGACCCTTTTTTAAATATTGTCTCTGAAACTTTGTTTTAAAAAAATGCTTTATCCGGTTTCATTCTGCAATAAGCTTTCTATTAAGTATTTGTTCCATATATTATGTAACAGATGATCACTATAAAAAGCTTTTTGATTGGTTAAAAGTTTGTATTTGCCAAATCAATCATCACATAACAGAAACTGCTGGGAATGAGCATGCTTGCTAAACATGGCAATTCTAATTTTCGATCGGGATGTGAGTTGAATAACCATTTTTGAAAAATGTGCAGCAATGCGAATAGCTTGAATGCAAAGTTGATAGGAACGTAACTGGTCAATCTGTATAAAAACTGAAGGCCAGAACTAGCATTTTGCTTTTTGTGCCACAAAGAGCTTAACAGTAACAGCTTGAACCAGGATGATCATTTAGAGGTTTTATATCTCCAAATAAAATTTAAAGAGAGACAAAGTATAGATCACTGGTGGGAATTGTTTATATTGTTATGATTTGAATTTTCAAGTGGGATACAAGCTAAATAGCCATTTAAAAAATGTGTTGCAATAAGATTAGCTTGAAGGCAAAGTTGATTGGAATGTAACTGGTCAATCTGTATGAAAACTGAACGCCATGACAGGCAGTTTGCTTTTTGCACCATAAAGAGCTTAAAAGTAGCAGATAGCATGCTATGACAAGGAATTGAACCAGGATGATTATTTCGAGGTATAATATACACCTGCAACTCGAAACAGAATTTAAGGATTGACAACATATAGATCACTGGTAGGAATTGTTTTTATTGTTGCCAGATACACATGTAAAAAAATGTCATATCTTGGAGGTGTTTTCTTGGCCAAAAAATAGAATCATCATTCAAATTGTTAATATTATCAAAATGTTCTAGTTGTGTTAGAATTAAGTGTAAGATAAGAGTAATTATATCATGATAAACGTTATGGAACAAGGACTAAATCAAGAGACCACAACATCATCATAGTCATTAATCAAAAATCAAGTCTGCAGTACAACATAGTGACATATTGAATGCACCTTGCAATTCTTTTCTTAATGTCATTTTGCATTTTTTAGACTGTCAAATTTTTCTATGCAAAATATTGTATATTTCATATATGTTCACAGATGCCTATGCATATGTTCCAGGCTTGATAATTTGATTTTTAAAATCATTTAATCATTTAATTATTTAGTGTCTAGCCAGATTCTTCACATCATGTTGTATATACTGTATATATCGTGCATAACATGCTTCAAAGTAGATTAATTGTGTAACTAATTGAGTTACCTTCTTTAAATAAAGTCTGAATTATTATTATTATTATTATTATTATTATTATTATTATTATTATTATTATTATTATTATTATTATTATTATTATTATTATTATTATTATTATTATTAACTCCAATATCTTTTGCCTTAGATGTAATATAATTACATCTGTATAATTTTGTTTCATGTACACTGAAATATCACATTGATTAATAAAGTCCTGTTTAATTCATATCCAGTACTGCTCTGGTGGCCTAGTGGTTAGAGCATCCATCTCGGATGCAGGAGGTTGTGGGTTCAATTCCCAGCTGAGTCATACCAAAGACTTACAAAATGGTACTAACAGCTAACTAGCTTGGCGCAAAGCATTAACAAGTTAGTGTTAGGACTGGTTGGCCTGATATCAGGATGATGTGATTGGGTGGGACATCATGCTACATGTCTGCTAGACATCACTATAAACTGCCACATTGCAGACATGCTTGCAATATGGCCAAAAATTTTTTAAAGCTATGTTATAAATCAAAATCACACACAATTTCATATCCATTATATATTTGAAACCTCCTGAAATGTCTGAAAAATTAAAAAAATTTAAGTAAAATACTATATAATAATCAAAAAGTTTAGTAAAATCTCACCAAAGTTATAGTAAACTCTCACAAAACAAAATGTTAGAGATCTCAGCAAAACTTGAGTGAAAATTTTGGCTAAAATGTTTGTGAAACATCACCAGAATTACAGCGAAAGTTTTGGTTAGAGCTCTGTGAAATGTCACAAATATTTCAGTGAAATTTGAATGAGGTATCGCCAAAATATCAATGAAAGTCAAAATATTTGTGAAATCTCCCCAAACTTGGGCAGAAGTAAAAAAGACTAAAATGATGCATCATGGATTAAGTTTTGTGTGCAAGAAAGAAAATGAGGACAAGAAAAACCTAAATCTTATTTGATAATTTGTCAAAATAAAATTTATGATCCATTGGTTAAAATTTTTGGGAATATTATTGATTTCCAGCAATGTGTTAGAATTATTAGGCAGTTTAAGAGAAATCTGAAGCAGATTTTTTATTGGATGATATTTATGTAGATTTTTTAGGCAGCCTGTTTCTAGACAGAAACCTTAGGCAGATTTTTATTTCAGGTGGAAGTCTCAGGCGGGGTTGTTTTTCAGCTAGAATTTTATTTCAGGTGGAAACCTTTAATGGATTATTTTGTTAAAGTAGAATCTTAGACAACAGATTTGCATATTTCACCTAAAATTCTGCCAAAAACGAACCTAAAGTCTGCAAAGTGGACTAACATTTTAACAGTTTCATTACTGGATGGGTTTCTGCAGGTATTTCCATCTACTTAGTAGGCAGAGGAAAAGATTCTGCCTAGTAACAGAGTAATTTGCATATTTTGAGCTATATTCCACCCTGAATCCACTGTGAATCTGCCTAAAAGTGATAATAAGGGAATCTAGGCTAAATAAGCAGAATAATCAAATTCCGCTTAGTAGGCGGACTAAGCAGATTCATCCTAATAATAGACGGAGTAATTTACGTATTTCAGGCCCAATTCCACCCTGAGTCCACCTAAAATTGATAATAATGGGAATCTAGGCTAAATAAGTGAAATAAACAAATTCAGCTAAGCAGGCGGACTACACAGATTCTGCCTAATAATAGACAGAGTTATTTGCATTTTTCGGGCTATATTACACCCTGAATCCACCGAAAATTTATAATAAGTGGAATCCATGGCTTTAGGTGAAATCCACTTTAAAATCCACCTGGAATCTGGTTAAAGTCTGGATGGAAGTTTTCATACGGTAAGGTTGCTCCAAGCCAAAATGGATTTATTTTTAATCCCAAGTTTTAAATAATTTACTTACATCCAAAAGCAAAGTATAATGAAATATTGTAGATCTTCACACAATGACTTGTTTGTCAGTGATGCATGTTTAAACAATTTAATAAACATAACGCTTGAAGAAGAGCTTCTTGAGGATGGTGAAGTTATCTTCCCGGAAAATATCTCGGGCTGTGTGAAGAGCACTGTATATAAAAACTTTCCTGCAGGCTTTGAGTCGAGACAATGCAATGTCAAGGCTGGAATAGAAAAAGTACAGAGCCTAATTGAGTTGAAATAATACACAACTAGCTTTGTCTTCATAAAGCATGTATGCCCCTGCAGAGGAACAAGGTAAAAGAATTTTTAAAAATTTAACAAAAAATTGTAAATTGCATTTTGGCCTATCAAGTATATCACAAATTTAGATCAGTAAATTTAACCTTTGATGTCAACATGCCCCTGGTCTGTCATAACAGGTGTGTGGCATATCCCATTGATATGCATCATCTTAACAGGTGTGTTACATACACCATTCATATACTTATACATCATTCATAACAGGTGTGTTGTGTACTCCATTGATATACATCATCCATAATAGGTATGTTGTGTACTCCATTGATATACATCATCATAACAGGTGTGTGGCATACCCCAATGCTATACATATACATCATGATAACAGGTGTGTTGTGTACCCTATTGATATAATTATATATTGTTATAACAGGTGTGTGGCATACCATATTAATATACTTGTAGCTGCCTCATGATTACCACAATCTTTGCCAGATACATCCATATTATATTAAATCAAAGGGGCACAGCATATATACCTGAAGTGGCCAACTCATACTATACTGTGCAACCCATTAGTCAGGGCTTGTTCTTTTAGGGAAAAAAACTAGTGATTTCCAGATTCACAAAAACTGTTAGTGAAAATTGTGAGACACACCATTGCCTCTGTGAAAGGCATTATCATTGCTCTGTGGGATACAGAATTTTCTCTGTGAATGGCATTATGTTCTTGGTCCCACAGCCGAGACAGGAACTCTGTGTATATCAGTGTACAACTTTGACATCAGTTTTTATAAGCATTTAGCACTGAAAATCCCATCACATGTACCAATAATATTTGTATGGAATTCAAAACTTAAGAAGGCCATGGTCTGTATGTCAAGCCAATGCTAAAAGCATTGCTGTAAATGGTGACCTTCACCCTGAGGCCAAAGGTTGAGTGTACATGTTGCAGAATGTATAAGTGTAGCTTCATAATCATTCATCCTATATAATATATTGGTTGTTATCCATTCCATGCAAATAAGAAACAAAATAATATTTCAAATTTCATGCCCATTGGAAAATTATCCTTTTTTCAAAGTCCTAAAGTGGGAGTGTAAAACAAAAGTTTAAAATTAAATTTACTTTTCAACAAGTGCTTTTCCATAAAGACAAAATCTCCTTACCATCCTATGCAAATTTGGATTTATAACTCAATATAAAGTGTTACAAGTCTATACTCGTAAAATAAATAACAGAAATGAGTGAAGAAAACAAGCTTTGTAAAATTTAACAAATAATTTATTCCCCTAGAATACAATGTGGAAAATAAGAAAAAAAACTTACAGCATTGCAAATTAAATCCACAAATAAACCAAGAATTGAAGACATGTGCCTTAGTAATTAAAAGTCCTGAATAAAACTCAGTTCAAGTCCCAAAGAGATCCAAAATTAAAGGTGATGACATCTTTGTTATAGCCTATAAAGTACTAATTTGTCAACAGTCTCTCTTGTTGAATAAAAAATATTATTCCAGGTTTGAATTCAGTACAAATTCTACTGAATGTTTTTTTCCAAGAATTTTTTAAGTGCACTTTTGTATTTCCAGAGAAAACAATCACTTAAATTCAATAACTTGAAGAAAATAAATTTGAGCCCAAACTGGTCACAACATAATTCAACTTAAAGTGTTAGATCTTAATGCATGACTGGTAAAATCATTACAGAGACAAGATAATAATCTTATAATCTTAAGATAATTTCTGCTTGATTTCAGGTCATAATTAGCATCTTTTAAAAACAATCATTACCAGATAGAAAATAACCTTCTGGAATGATTTAATGAGCCATATTTATTTACAACACAATAGCATAAAATATTCTCTTAGGAATTTCCAAAACCATGACCTTGATCAACATATTTACTCCTTCTTTGTTTACCTGAATAATAATTTTGTTAATAAGCTCATACACATAGAGAATAATGAAAATATTATTAGTTACTTACATAAATGAAATTTTAAAAAAATACAATCAGGTAATAACATATAACAGATTAAAAATATTTAAAACTAACAAACATTTAACTTAAATATACATAACATGAGACAAGTATGAGGGTTCAAGCCAAGGCATCAGAAAATACTTGTCTGGAAAAGATTCAAACCCAACACTGGTGGAAAGTCACTCAATAATGAAAAAAAGGTCACAGTGACACACTTTTTAAATGAATTAGTTACTTTCCTTGATGCATCCACATACCAATTTTTAAAAGTGCAGGTGAAAGAGGGTACCAAATATTGATGATGTGAGAAACCAACAAATAAAAGAACGAACACAAAATGAATGAACAAACTGTTACATCCCCTCCCATCATTGTTGGAAGGTGATAATTTTATTGTTTTTAACTATATACTAGAGCATTTTACTGAGAACATTTTTGGGATGTAAAAGTACTGATAATACTCAACATCCAATATCTTACCGTTCATCTTGAAGCTGACCCTCTATTTCTGCAAATGCTCGGCAGAGATGGTCAGAATTGTTCTGGTCAAGCCCTTAAAAATAGGAAAATGTTATTTCATATTGTTAAGTATCAGCCCATTCAAAGTAACATAAAGAGTGAAGACAACGTGCTTTGTAAATTTAACAAAAATAATATATTTTCCTAGAAAACATGAAAAAATGTGAATATGTTAAACAAGACCTATGATTTATGGAAACAATCCAAATTATTTGTAAAGATAAGCATAAGTCCTGTAAAAAGTTCTAAACACAGTCTGAAGTTCAGTTCTGGTCCAAAATGGCGGATGATGATGTCAGACAAAGGCTAACAGAAAAATCCAGAATTTACACAGTAAAGCACAGTTTGTATTGTTCTTTTTCAATTTAGAATATTTTCGGAAAATGTCATTGTCCAAATCAGAAATGTTGTTCTCCAGGAAAACAATTATTCAGAAAAACAAAGTAAAATTAGCTCCTCTAACACAATACATGTTGTTCTACATAGACATACAAACAGACAACTTCTAGCACAAAAATACCTTCTTCAAGGTAATAGAAGTTGTATAACTCTAAGATTTCTGGACATTAAGAAAGCCTGACCAAGTATTAGCCAATCGTTTTCATAGCTATTCCTGAATGTTTACTTGTAATGAATTTACCATCTTACACAGCACGTGCTCACATGAGTCACAT